GATTGTAATTTATTTCGGGGGGGGGGGGTGTCAGACCCACAACCTTGACACGTTTCTTATGTGTATATTGACTCGCTATCGACTCACACGACGACCAACGTCATATCCTCTTCAGACTCACCTTCGGCACCTGTCGCTACATTGTCTTTCACACTCGCGATTGCATCCGCTCACACTCACAGCTCGCAGACACATGCCGCTAGCTATTCGCTTTCCAGATCCACTCCGCGCTACAGTACGACTCTCTCGCGAACTGTAGCCACAAGAGAAGCAGCGGTAAAAGCACCGCGAGGGAAGGTAGTCTCACGTGATAAGAGGTATCTTCAGAGACGAGGAGAGGTCGTACAAGGTTCAGGCCGACGGTAAGAAAGGTATTTTGATCACTACAACATAATCGAGATCTAGTTCCGAGGCCGTTCAGAAGGAAAATTTAATCGCCGTACCATGACCAGTATGTGGTGCTCTGATCGCGAATATGAATGGAGAATTTCCGTGGGGTCCATCTAATCAATCACAGGCGAGAGTGTAGCGCCGAAGCAGATATCCTAAACAAAAACGAAAATCCTTATCGAGAGCCGTGAGGCCGAAGACTCTTGCCTACCCCTTCTAAGCTTCTTAACCTCAACCCTCTAACTTACACGTTCATGCACTACACTCTCAGTATGTCGGGAAACTAATCGAGTGTTTAGAGATTTCTCCTCACTGGCGGCGAGACCTCACCTGCGAGCAGAAGGAGAGAATACAATTTCTAGCTATTGCACTCCTGTCATTGCGTCCCCACCGAGATTTCTGAGCTACCTATCACGATATTAAGTGGAGGGAGAGAGAATAGGTGAAAAGAGGCTCGGTGCCGCCACTCCGTAAGTTAAATATTTTCTGGCTAACAGAGCAACAAGCCACTGATGTTAGTTGAATAGCATAGCTCTTTGTGATAAGAGGGAATAGTGTTTATGAGTCCACATCCTTAGTATGCTATATTCGAAAGGGAAACTGGCATCTTTTACTTAGATATAAAATACGCATACTCTGTATATACGGAGTCGCGCTCATACTCCATCATTATTTTTATTAAAAAAAATTAATATTACGTATTTTCACTCTTACATATGATAATGTTTCTTTAGTGATATATCAGGAGAAATCCAGGCACACATCAACTCATGTTTTCCATATGTAACAATTCATTTGTAAAACGGCATTTCATTTCATTAAAACTAATTTTATTCATAAATGACGACAATTGAATGACAAATTTGTTTACTTTCTTGCAATGAGAACGTTTTGCAATCTTGTTCTTTTTACTATTCGCTTCTTTTGGTAAAAAGGAATTATCAATTTTCAAGAGGTGGATAGGGTATAGGATGGTTGTTGCATGTGAAGTAGACAAAATTGAAATGATTATAATATTTCATAACCTACAAATAATACTAGCAAGTACGTTCTCATAGAAAAAGTTAACCGACATCATATTGACTTCAAGAAATACCGATTTATGCGGAGACTATAAATACGTTACGTTAACCTGGGAAGTAGTATACACTCAACTTTTGGGTTGAGATAATCATAAACGACATTAAATTGAGTCTAAGTGTTGAGCGAAACCGAATAGTCACCCATATTTGTATTACTTATTTCCAGGGCGCCCAAAAAACTAAAAGAAAAGTAGAGCAGTCTTCGCACCTAAATGAGAAAATGTCTATTGCTTCTTTCGATACCCAAAAAAGTAGAATTTTTACGAAAAACTGAAAACATGTGTTACTCCCCAGCTTATTGTCTCATACTGCATCGACACGACGATTTTTGTCACCCACCTCACTGCGCCACGCTTAGGACAAAATTACGTCATGCATAGGTTCCAAGGACATGATCATCGTCTGCGACACTTAAACCTTTGCGTATTTGCGACAGAATTGCACAAGAACATTTTGTCGTTATTCTACCCGGATATAGTAACAAAACACTTAATTTGTATCTGTAACCTACATTAATTGCATTTGTAAGAAGAAAAATCCTTGCTTCGTTTCAAATATTCAATTTATTGCTAATTCTGTATGAGAGTGTTTTAATTGCTGTTCTTCGTACACAATGTGCGTGTTACTACATTGTGGGTCTGTAGACAACAGCCAGTTTTCGCGTGTGCCACTGTTGCACGTTATATAAAAAGTTCGCTGTCAGATATAATTAAAACTAAGAGAAGAGAAAAAAATATTGTTACAAAATAAATCTACTATGAAAAAATATAGCTAAACACGATTCATCGATCTGGTAATTTCGATTATATCCAATGCGAATAACATAGGCGTGATCGTATGTAGTCATCAATCAGAAGATAAGTAACACCTTACACCATATTGTTATCTGCACGAACATTTCCGAGAGTTACATCGTGAAAAAAACTGATGTCTGTCGGTGCACAATTACAAAGAACGCATGAAAAAGGATGCACTACTCACACTTATTTATGCTGTTTTGACACGAATAGAAGCACATGTCATGTCCTTGGAGAACTGCAACTGCAGTATAAGAAACGTCAAAATAAGAGAGAAAGTATTCACGGGATTTTATGTCCGATAGCTGATCTATAATTTCACATTGTTGTGAGGCGGAAAGAATATGAGCATTTTTTATATCACCGAGCTAGTGAGGACTCGCATTTCAGTCGCCGGATTCAATAACGAGAAAAATCATATATTTAATATCCACTTGTAGTTCACCATTGGTTGCTATGAAGAGGAAATTGTAATAACACGATCAATTTACGATCACAAACATGCAGGATTGTACGAGAGCGAGTCGCGATAACAACCGCTGAAACTCCAAAGAGGTGGTACTGCAGCCGCGGAAATTAGACTCACAAGTGTGCTCCCTATCAATTTCGAACCAGGCAACAGAGAGATAAAAGAATCACCCACTCACTACACGAGCGCCACTGACAAACACAAAACGAAAGCAGACCGTCAATATGAGGACGAAAGCAGAAGACCACAAATTAATTTGGAACACAATAAATTAACATTTTACATCGCCTAACACACCAATAAAAATTGGGAGCCTAAAGATCCGCGGTGAATATCGAAGTGCATTCACCGAGTGCTTACGATTACTTTGTAATTAAAGTCTAATTTCGATTTTTCTTCATTGCATTATCGCGGTTCGTGTTATACTTGCGGAGGAGTTCGATTTCTATATATTGTCCGGTACTCTCCGCGTAATAAATCCGTTATCACGATGACGTGGCGCGCGCGGCGCGATTACGAGATTTCCGTGACTAGACACAATTATATCGGCGGCCAATTACGCTGAATGTGGAGATAGCGGCAGAGGAAGAGAGAGTGCAGAGGAATATCCGCCTCCGAAATCCACCTCTCCTGGGCCTCTCTGCCCTTCCGCTTACCGACACGCGGAGAAGCGAGGCTGAGCGACGCGAGCGAAATCGTCAACCGGTGAGTATGGTCGTAGGATGTGAGGCTCGAGGTGTTGAGTTAGGGCGCCCTGATGACATTGAGCACCAGACCGGCTGCAACGGCAGCCCTATGCCTATCACGGTAAATAAACGGAGAGCAGAATGACACGCACAACCGCACCGTCACGGCTCCGCACAACCTCGTTTCTCAGTAAAAGAGGCCGGACGGTCTGTGTGGGGGTGGGGTGTGAGGGAGGGGGGGGTGGGGCGTCGTGACCGTCTCCACGCTGAAGGGTTTTTCGTGAGCGTCTAGTATCAATGAGCAAATCTGATAAGTGGACGCAATAAATCCTTTTATACTCGAAGTGTTCACTTTGCTCTGTATGACCAAAAACTACTATATTCATAACAGTGTCTACGTACTTAAAAATCTCATAATTATGTAATAATTAGTTAATCTCAAGTTATTATGATATAAATGTGAAACTCATCTTTGAAAGCGAAAATCCCTAGGAATTCGCCGGAACACTGTGGCACAACCAGTTTATAACCACTGGAGTAGTGAAAGTTTATATTGTCCCCAGCTGAAACAGATGCGCAAGATGTCGCTCGACCACAGATCGGTTTTATGAGAATTTTTCCCACCCAGAGCATTTCTCTCCAGCGGATGAGGTCTAATTGGGTTCCAGGCTTCTTACACATTTCTCGCAACTATGGGCTTCTCAATATTTATTGTTTTGTAAAGCGAATCCGTAATAAACATTTAACAGCCGACTCTTTTCTCTATTGTGTGAAATAAGGAGTAAAGTTAGTTTAAAAAGAAAATAGCGTCAAAGCCACCTCACAGATCTATTTGGAATGCCTTGGTTTAAATTCTCGGCAAAACTCACTCAAAAATTGCATGAGTCACTAAAACGTCGAAAAAAAAACAACACGTTTTTGAGTAAATATTTTGACTTACGATATTGACTCTACCTATGCCGTCCTCAGAAAACAATAATCATCTTCAGAGACGGATTGCCCAGACCATATATGACACCTCATTCAAATACGTCCACATGTGATGCTACGAGGAAGTGGTCTACCGTGGCTGATCCGCACACACGCTACACGCAGCTCCTCAAATGCTTTATAGGAATCAGGACGACGTGTACGAGAGAGTAGGCCGCAATCGAAATGAGTCTACTTCTCCACACTGTGGGACCTTTGCAATTCCGTTGACATCCTATCAAATTATAATTACTTTATCTATAATCACCCAGACTCGCGGCATGTGTATTCGGGTTTCACCGTTTCCTTGCTATCACGCCATTCATTATGTGCATGTGCTATTCTCTTGTGCATCGTAACCTCAGTATTACAATAATTCATATACAAGTTACTAGATACCAGTACAGATATACATGGCGGGAGTAATAAATTTGTAATATTTACAACCTGGTGTGGTTCCTTATAATCGTGTGACGAATTTTTATACTACCCATTTCGTGTCCTTACCGGAGGCCTTTGTGTAATTATTTTCAAAAGTCGTTCCTTGGATATATGAGACATAATAAAATAAACTTTACACGCATTAATCATTTGTCTCGCTTCTCTGAAGCAGTGGAAGTTACTTGAGTATAAGCAAACCGAAAGAAAAAAAACCAATATCAAAAAGAACCGAGTGAATTGTGCAGAAACTTTGTGCCCCCAATAGAGAATTTCCTTTAGTTCGGGGTTAAACGACCAAATACGTAATGATTCCCTCGCGACTGAATCCTCCTTTATTTTCCAGAAAAGTTACCAAAGTTGCAAAGACATAGATGACTTCGAGAGTACTGAATAACTAATGTCTTATTAGGTTAAGTATTTCCAAAGGCAAAATGACATTGATCCCTAACGGCCAAGAACAATATCCTAACAAATTACAGCAACAATTTTCTTTAATGTAACGTAAAGTATTTCAACTTTGAGGCAAGGCAATACAAAGACTACTGAGATAACAATTAACAAATATGGTCTATGCTATAAAATGAGAGAATATTGTATAGCAAACCTTTTCTCGGCATAAAAAATTAACTTATATATGCTGAAGAATTGAGGAATATAAAGTGCTAGTGTATCGGGCACCTACCCCGATTATTTTCAACGTTGCATCTCTTCTTCAGTCTAACTTAACAATTTTTATCTCACAAAAAATGTAATATAATTCAGCATTATACATGAGTGTTGACGTGTCCTATAGCGAAATATGGCTCGTGAGAGCCTCTATCTGTATCAGAGCACTGTTGCGACATTATATCAGCAGGGCTTACTGTAAAGTTTGCAAAACAAGATCATTGTGGTAATAACTCATAATTGAAAACATAACACTCTATGTCATAGTCTATATATGCGTAGTATAATCCTGGCTTATCTCTATTAACAACACGCTCATTTAACGAATAGATGCACTTAGAATGAGTGTAACTTTGCTACGTTCTAAGATCATCAAAAGGAGCAATCACCGTGAAACCAGGAGAACAACCCACGCTCTCAGTCGTCGCTGAATATCACATCATAGACGAATACACACTAAATAGACACATTGACTTCTTAACTGGAGAGCATGTAAAAAATACACAGAGTGTTACATAAACGAAAGTCGCACAACCTAGGTAGCTATAGGTTATAAACTTCAGTAGAGTGGATATTGTTGTTGGCACAAACATGAGAGAGATGAAGTATTGTAAATCGCTTGAACAATGGAAATAAATAAGGAGTCATAAGAATACACTGTTGCAATGATATTGTAAAAATAACTACTCCACATACCCATCACTCCACATTTATATACATCAATCCTTTCTTCATTTGTTCTTAATTTCGTACGAATACATTTTATGAAACTATCCGATTGGATATTACATAATCCGTAATAGCCCATCCGAGAAAACCCACAACCAAATCATTTAATAAATGTCCAGCCGCAATGCTGCCCACCAAACAGCCACCGCGACGCGTCGTGTTCGCCTTGGCCCCGCGTAGCGCAGTTTGGCGGAGATAACCCTCCGCCGCTCCGAGTAAATTACTATACGGTTTTTATTTTTTTCCCGTGCTGGCGATTGCGCTCGGCGCTCGGAAAATGGCGGGTAAAGAGGGTGGCCGGGGGAGGGGGGAGGGGAATCAGCCAGGGAGCAGCACTCTGGTCGGAGGCCCGGACGCCGTCGTCACGCGTCAGCGCCTGTCCGAGCACAGACCCCTCGTCTCAGCGCTCAGACCCCACCACGCCCGTCGGAGAGATTCGCATGAGGAGAGGTGCTGGTTCGCGGCGGGCCGTAATATAATTATACTAGCGGCACCTGAGCATAGGCAGCTCACAATTTTAGTCAGTTCTTAACCCCCATCGTGCACGTATGCAACGGAAGAACTACGGAGAGCTGTGAGACGTGGCACCCGAGTCCCATTCCTGCCTGCACGCCCTCCTAGCGGCCGATCGAACCGTCCGGCGCAGAGGCGAGCGTATGTATGCCTCTTCGTCAATAAAACAACTAAACCCGGGTGGGTAAAACAAGCTCCGCGCAGCCGAGAAGGACGACAAACGGAGACGGCAAGGGATCTTAGGCCCGGCCGTCTTTTTACTTTTAGGTGAAATTCACATTCACCGGCGGCGGCGAAGGCCTTGCGGAGATTGGTCTCCGTTTCGATGTCGGAGCCGCGCCATGAAGCCGGTCTCCGAGCCGGCGGCTTGGGTGGTGGGGGGAGGAGGGCGCCGGTGAGGCGCCGCGCCGAGAGAGCAACGCGACTGTGATTGAGCCCGAGAGCCCGCTCAGGCGGGCACAGTGCGAGGGCGTGACACCGCTATTCGCACCCCCATGCACGCAGGCAAACGGCCCCGGCGCGCGACTGCCACCCCGCCGCCGACAGCCCGCTCGGCGCGTGCGGAGGATGGAGGAGGAGAGGAGGCCAGGAGGCGACGAGCGGCAGGGGAAAGCGGCACCCCCACGTCTTCCTGCGAGAAAGTCAAATTCTGGCCGACTGACCGGGACCATGCCACAGTACAAGGATTGTTGCGGCGCACCACGCAGATACCCTCAAATCGCGCCGCCCGGCCCGCCTGGCGCGCCGCCCGCCCCGTCCCCGGCCCTGGCCAGCGAGGCGCTCGGCTAATATACGATATCGCCCATACAGGACGTGGAATGACGGAAGAATCAGCTGGCCGCGAGCCGGATGTGTGTAGCTACTGGGAGGCGGTACAGGAGCATATGGGTCTATCTGATTCATTTCCGTGAAAACAGCGACGCGTCGCGGGATGAGAGAGGCGTCGACGGAGAGTGGTAGACGATTTATGATAATCATAATGAGGGGACAGAAGATGGGTGAGGTAGAGCCAGAGGATCAGGAGTCTCAAGCCGCAGCCCCCGATTTACGTAGGCCAGGAAGGAGAGAAAACTGTACCAGGAATTGGAGAATGCGAGCATTAGTGAGAGTATATTTGACATAGGAGATATTTTAAATACAATTTCACGATTTTATGTTTTCGATTAATAAAAATTGAAGGGTGGTGCCGTAATTCTGGCTACAGAGAAACATGTGTCAAGTCTTTGGGACATTGTGTGTGTGTCTGTGTTATTAAGGAAATGGTTACAAATATAAGATACTTGTAAACACAGTTAATCTTCATTATTTTTTATTAAAAATATAGATTTCGTACTCTTAATATCTCTAGTCTCATAATTCGGCCACCTGTTTCCAATGTTCAACGACATTAAATGTTCTTCCTGCATTTGACGTTTGCATCTACTCTGTGTAAATACAAAAATACGTTCGTAGCGTGGAACGAAACACAGAAGTGCACCAGTTTGTTTGCCCTGCGCGTGAGTGCGTCTATGACCTAATCCAAGAGCTCGTCCCCACACGCCGGTCACGTCCTGGGAAACAGAGCGCCGCACGTCGTCTGCGAATGGCGGACACGGCACACAGTGTGACGATATCACGAAAATCTGGGCAAAACATTCATGAACATGGAGCTTAGAGCTTGTCCCGCATGGGGCGGTGCACCGCTGGTGGGATTCACGTGGGGATTGGGAAGAACCCACAAGTCGACGTGAAGGTCGACGATGGATATCTCCATCAGGCAGAAAAGATCACCGCCACCACCCGCCATAAAGACATGCACTAGAC